TGAAGGACGTAAAGACATCATAGAGGATTGTGAAGATATTTCACTGGAACTTGGTCTTCATTACATCTATATCGTGTTCAGTTTCAACTGTTATTTATTAATGTATTCAGCTAACAACTGTTATTAGAGCACTGTCATTTTTTGCTACAATCTGCCATGTCAATAAAAAATAAAAGTACATGAACAAGAACATGCTGTTTTAAAAATGTATAACCCAAATAGAGGCAACAAGACCAAGACCCCACACTAACACGGTAGCATAATGAGGGTCCCTACCGTCAAACCGAAGCATTGAGAACTTTGTCAGTGTCCAGACAGTTTAATAAGAAGATATTTTATACATACAGTCCACTTCGCGTATACAGGCAGAAGCCATCTTTGAAAAACAGTCTCTACCAGTCGATCTACGAACGCCGATCCAAGCCTACTGTTCGCGCTCACCTTATCACAACTTATAGCTCGTTCACATCTCACCAGCGCACTTGGATCGGCGTTCGTAGATCAACTGGTAGAGACTGTTTTTCAAAGATGGCTTCTGCCTGTATACGCGAAGTGGACTGTATGTATAATATATCTTCTTATTAAACTGTCTGGACACTGACAAAGTTCTCAATGCTTCGGTTTGAAGGTAGGGACCCTCATTATGCTACCGTGTTAGTGTGGGGCTATTTTGAGCCTTGTTAGTGGTATTAACAAGCGATTTTTATTTGTCATTACTCTATGCCCTATATACTAGCGTTATACTAGCAGTATAGGCTAAACTGTTTTTAGAGATAAAACTATTTACATTCGATAATCATGAAAACAAATCTCAGATAACGGTTGACTAGGTAACAATGTGTAATTAGACCAAAGGTTCATTTTGGGCCGGAGTTCTCCTTTAAGGTTCTATATAGCACTTTCAAAGCATGGTTCTTTATGGAACCTTATAAAAAGAGTTCTATTTAGCACTAAAAAGGGTTCTGCTATTGTTACAAGCCGAAGAACCCTAATTTGGTACTGTTTAGAACCATTTTTCTTAAGAGTGTATTTTTACTCTAATACCATAAAAAAACGGCCTTATATGCAATTGTATACAAATCAGTTGTTAATTTGAACTTTTAAAGTCCCCTGGTGGTGAAAATCAAGTTATTAATGTTGTTAATATGTCTATGTGGTGTTTTTAATATGCGTTAAGACAAACCATTTGCAAATTCATAAGTCAACACCATTGCGGAGTATTTTCTCCTTAAAACCAAAGACAGTCTCAAAAAAGCGGTTTGAAATCGCTGGTGTTTCTGACGTCACAAACTACCTTGTAACCAATCACGTCAACGAGTGGATCTCTGAGCTGGTGTGAGTGAGTGGAGGCGGGGCTAATTTGCATATTCATAGAACAGCGTATACTAAATTGGGCAAGGGTGTAGAGTTGCATTCAAGTTATTTTAAGGCATGAAGACATTTTTTTAAGGCATGAAAACAGTTGCTATTGTAATGGCTAAGACTTGACTTTCTTCTGCAACAACTCAGGACAGAAAAGTGCCCCTGCTCACATTGCATGCATCCACTCATATGCTGACCAGATAAACCAAATAAAGAATGGTTTCAGGTCGAGACATTCCTGATTCGAACTAATTCAGAGACAGCATGAGATTAACGTACATTAGTTCTCAGTGTGAGCTTTATGATATCATGAACAAGCACAGCAGGACGGAGTCTGTCAGTAGCTCTGGACTCAGCAGGGATTCTTTGGTTGTGTGTGCTTAAGTCGTACCATAAATAGGAAATATTCTATTTGCTGGAAGGTGCAGAATATTAACGAAAGAGTAAAAACAAATCTGAGGAGTTGATATTCTTGCAAAAACACTTTGAGAAGCCTGTAAGGAAAAGGAGTCTGGGGATATCTGGCAGATCTTATTAAATGTGTTTTGGACAGACCAGTCAATGTACAGCGATTGAGCTCTTTCTTATGCAAGATGAGGTTGATTGGGCTTTATTTGATGACTGTTATAAATCAATGCATTTAATCAATGATTTGTGCCATGCTTTTTCTGCAGGATGATCTCTTTCATTTCATTTGGTATACTGTGTACATATTTTATTTCGCATTGTGATTATCTCACAATTGGAACTTCATATCTCTATGCTGTGACTTATTGCGACTTTTTATCTCACAATTGTTAGGTTATTTCTCACAGGAATGTTATTTCTCTGCAACTAATTGTTCATATAATTGTGACTTCAATCTCTCAAAGTTGATTAATATTTTACAATTGCGACGTCACAGTAAAAGGACGCTTCCATAAACCTTTTTCTTCTGAAAAATATTAAAAATAATACTTTATTCAGCAAGGGTGCACTACAAAGGTCAATCAAAAGTGATAGTAAATACATTTATAATGCTACAAAATATTTCAAGTTTAAATAAATGCCTTTTTTAAACCTTCTATTCATCAAATTACATCACTTTTTACTGTATTTTTTCATCAAATAAATGCAGCCTTGCACTGTAAAAAAATATATGATCAATAAGTTGACAACATGTGTTTTTACATTGCTTTAACTCATCAAAATAAGTGAAGTTAAGCAATTTTCAACTTTTTTAAAGTTATACAAGATTTAACTCATTTTTTAAGTCAGTTTAATGTAATTTACGTTGAAATTACTTAAACATCCAAGTTGATTGTACTCAAAAATTTAAGGCAGCAATTTTTTTTTTTTTTTTTTTTTACAGTGGTGAGCATAAGAGACTTCTTTCAAAAACCGACCCCAAACATTTGAATGGTAGTGTATTTATGAATACTTATGGGATCATATTGAAATTTGCTGTAAACGTCATTGTTTTTGGACTACTCCAAACTGATTATACATAGACGTTCTTCAGGCAGTGGTGAGTTTTAAATAAACCCGTCCAGAACTTGTACAATTAAACCCTGATTACATTTCCAAAAACTCAAGAAACTCAGTATATTGTTTTGTAAAGCCATCCGTCTGAATACTTCTACAAACATTCATGCAATAAAACAATCTAGTTAAATTACATCATAATAGAAATAACTACATATGCAGATCTCTTTGAATAGCAAAAACAAGAATATACAGTAATAAACTGTTCAACAACAAAAGAAAGAAGACACGAGACCCCTGAAGCCAGATGTTTTGCAGAACGTATCTGTGTCAGCCTGCATTTATTATGGAAACAATCTCACAACTCTTAATTAACAGACGAGGCCTAGATGGATGCAGTCGTCCTCATATAAGACCACAGGGTATAATGCCGTGTTCATGTTTTGTGTAATGAATTATTAAGAAGGATTTTTGTAAGGAGGCCAGAGCAAGGCTATAAGTAAGATTATGTCATGTCTGTGCTGTCTGACAACGCCAGTGGTGTTTTTGACTGAATCGTATTGGTCTGCTGGAAACATTCATCCATCTGAGTCACTCATTGTAAATTATGTTGTTTTTTTTATCTGTAAGTGGAGCAATAAATCTTTCAGGTTAGTTTATGAGAATGTAGATGAGAATGAGAATGGGTCTCTCATTCAAATAAATGACGTCTGATTTGAGTCGGTTCTTTTAGTGACTCAGTCAAACCGGTTCAATTGGCAACAACATTTAACACAATTTATGATGCACTGGGCATCCTTTTATATGATGCATTATATATATATACACTACCGTTCAAAAGTTTGGGGTCGGTACGATTTTAAATACTTTTAAAAGAATTCTCTTCTGCTAACCATGGCTGCGCTTATTTGATTAAAAATACAACAAAAATCAGTTATAGTATTAAATATTATTCCAGTGTAAATCAGCTGTTTTCTGTGTGAATATATAGTAAAGTGTAATTTATTCCTGTGATCAAAGCTGAATTTTCAGCATCACCAGTGTCAGTGTCTTCAGTGTCAAATGATCCTTCACAAATCAGTATAATATGAGGATTTGATGCTCAAGAAACATTTATTATTATTATCAATGTTGAAACAGTTGTTGGTCTGTCAGTTGTACAGTTTTTTTTTTTTTTTTTTTAGGATTCTTTGATGAATAGGGTTAGGGTTAGAATCTTTTGTAACATTATAAATGTCTTTACTGTCACTTTCGATCAAATTAATTATTCCTTGATAAATAAAAGTATTGATTTATTTCCTCCAAAAAATAAAAATAAAATTCTCACTGACCCCAAACTTTTGAACGGTAGTGTGTATATGTATGTATGTAGATGGATAGGAATAAGGATAGATAGGAATAAGGATAGATAGATAGATAGATAGATAGATAGATAGATAGATAGATAGATAGATAGATAGATAGATAGATAGATAGATAGATAGATAGATAGATAGATAGATAGATAGATAGATAGATAGATAGATAGATAGAGGAATAAGGATGGATGAATGGATGGATTGGATGCAGTTTTCCGTCATGAAATCTGGTGTTTTATTAACCACAGATGCAAACCCTCTTAAACAAGTGAAAGTACCGCTATGCAAACTACATTAATGCAAAACCTGGACGGCAGAAGAGTCACAAAGTGTATCTCACCGTTCCTGTGAAATTCACTTATGTATTTGCATGATGAATCAATTAGGATTTGAATAGCATATCATTCCCACATGCATTTCATCTGTTAGGTAAATAATTCACAATAAAAAAAAAGTTATAACATTTGTCCTGTGAAGTAAGATATGGCAATTTGTATAACACCATATTTTAATGTTTATTCGCAATTAAATCCAAACTTACACTCCTATTAAACATTGCTGAAATATACAGTGATATATATCGCATTGGTTCCTTCTTTTAAACAGGCTTCTCTTTTCACTCAGAGTTGATGGATCGTATGTAAGGCATCTCGTTGGTTGCCCTGGTAACGGTGGAGCTGAGCGGGAAGGTGTGAAAGTGCAGGAATACGGGTGTTGTTCCTTTGTCTTCCATCAGATCTCAAGATCCGCTCCTTCACTGGGGAACATCAGGTGGGAATTCTCTACAAACAGGTTTCCGAAGGACCCGCTTTAAAAAAAAGTCCTTGTAGCCAGTGTTTAGATCTTATGAACTCCATAAACAGCTGGAGTGATCTTTTCTTATATTTCTTGGGAAGCATTCGGAGTGAGGAATAAATACAAGCAAAAGTAAGACCTTCATGAATGTTTTATCTCTCCCTTGGGCTTGGATGTTATCGTACAGTTCTGGAAGGAAACGACAGCATGCGCTTTAAATTAAAGTGATGATTGATGGTTTTCTTTCAGGATTCCTCAGATTACATGTTGTAATTTTAGATGTATGAGGGATTGTGATAGACTATGTGGTTTTAATGGGAAATAATTCAGGTTAATGATAAACACTGTTGACAGTGACTTTTCCTGCTCTTATGATCAGATTACAAGAGAGATCTCTAAAAATGGACATGTTCGAAAATGTGTTTGGTTATGCCACAGGTGTCATTGAAATGTTGCGTGCAAATTTTATGTCATCAGTGATTTTTATTTGTTCATGTAAAATCTGTACAGTGCCTAACATCTCCTTGCATCTCTTGCAGGTTCTGTTGTGGTGAAGAATGCAGAGAGGAGGTTTACCAAAACATAAACTACCATAACCACGGGTGAGAAAAGAAGATTTCCATTAGCAAAAAGAAAGAAAGGGAAGTGACAATGGGCCGAAAGAAGATACAGATTACCCGCATAATGGATGAGAGAAACAGACAGGTAAGATGAGGACGTCTGCTTTACAAATCCTGTAGGAATAAAATGTGTTTTCCAAGTCTATCTAGATCTGTAAGTAGATATAAGAAAGCTTTGAGTTGCTATACTTCAACTGACTAATGTATTCGCCATACTTTGAATCAGTTCTTAAATCTACAAAGAGCCTTGCACATTTTCTGTTATAGATTAATATTGTGTTGATTAATGTCCATTTCAGTCATTTGCAAAAATGTTGACTATATACACAACCGTTAAAAAGTTTGGGGTCAGTAGATTTTTTTAAGAAATTAATACTTCCTGTATATTCAGCAGAGATGCATTAAATTAACCAAAAGTGACAGTTAAGACTTCTATAAAGTTACAAAATATTTCGGTTTCATTCATTCAACTTATTATTCATAAAAAAATCTTGAAGAAAATGTATCATGGTTTTCACAAAAAAATTAAGCAGTACAACTGTTTTCAACATTGATAATAGTAATAAATGTTTCTTGAGCAGCATATCAGCATATTACAATGATTTCTTATAGATAGTGTGACACTGAATATGGAGGACCAGCTCTACCATATTTAAAAATAAATACAGAAATAAATAAATGCTCAATAAATAAATAAGCATACAATTAATTGCCCCAAAAAATACAATAAACAAATAAATGTAGGTAGAAATTAAATTATACAGTGAGACATAAATGTATATATCTCTTTTAATTAGCTTCTTTATTTATTCATCTTTGTAATAATTACCTTATTTATTTATTGTCTGTTATAATCTTCAACTTTTTTTATTAATTACTTAATTTTTTTAAGTATTTATTTATGTGCATGTTATAATATTTTTGTCTGTTTTATTCTTCCTTTGTATTTTTTTACCCTATTTATTTCTTCAATGCTATTTATTTCTGCCTGTCGTTTTTACATTTCTGTATGCATTTCTGCCTCATTATGCAAATGAGAAGGTGCTGTGTCTTAAGGGGTCAACTTCTGCCCATTGGTTGGTTAGCATTTTACTGCATCGGTCGAATCTACATGCCACCGGCCACAGTCACACAACAAAGATGGCTACCTACGATGAAGTTGTCAGTGAGCTGAGGCATTTAGCAACTGTTTTTGAAAACAATGCTAACGTTATAAGTATTGACTTTATTACTTTTCGTTTGGACGCTCTGACAGAACGTGTGTTTCAGTTAGCGGCACACATGGACACAGATGTCGACAATGTAGTTTTTCAGAATCTGGAGGAAGCGACCCATCTTCTTAACCTCATTAACATCCAATGAGTTGCATTACTGCCACTAAACAATGCTTTATGGCGGGGGAAAGCCATGTAGATTCGACCGATGCAGTAAAATGCTAACCAACCAATGGGCAGAAGTTGACCCCTTAAGACACAGCACCTTCTCATTTGCATAATGAGGCAGAAATGCATACAGAAATGTAAAAACGACAGGCAGAAATAAATAGCATTGAAGAAATAAATAGGGTAAAAATAATACAAAGGAAGAATAAAACAGACAAAATTATTATAACATGCACATTGCACATAAATAAATAAGGTAATTATTACAAAGGTGAATAAATAAAGAAGCTAATTAAGAGATATATACATTTATGTCTCACTGTATAATTTAATTTCTACCTACATTTAATTGTTTATTGTATTTTGGGGGGCAATTAAGTGTATGCTTATTTATTTATTGACCATTTATTTATTTATTTATTTATTTATTTTTAAATATGGTAGAGCTGGTCCTCCATAACTGAAGAATGGAGTAATGATGCTAAAATTTCAGCTTTGTCGTCACAGGAACAATATTACTGTTACTGGTCTCTAGATATAAACCTTAAGATTTTGGATTCAAGAACCAGTTACATTTTGTACACACAACAGAGACCAGTACAATCCGGTTCATGAGCGGATAGCTACAGTATTATGAACTATTTTTTTAAAGGAATTGGTCAAAAAGACTGACAAATCAGACACAAACTTATACGAGTTATTCGTTTGAAGCGACTCACTGACTCATTTACTAAATCATTCAGAACGTTTCTCCACTAAACCACAATTATTAAGAAATCTGACCATTCAAATCCTTACAATTCCCATTTATTCCCACTTTAATGAACAGCATCAGATGCAGCCAAATGTATCATCATAAGCTCAATCTGTTTAGCTGTCTCTTTTTTTTTTTTTTTTTTACAAACCCCTTCATCTTTGTAGACCATTGGAGCACCAGGAACGTCCCACACCTTCAATCCTAACATACGTGATTTATTTCTGTTCGAATGACCGCTCAGGAGTGCCCCATGTCTCATGAGCGTGTTTAATGAATGCACAGGTCGGACTCCATGCGTCTGCACACAGGAGCTCTTGTGTGTGTTCCTCAGCGGACTGCAGTCCCTGTGGTGTGGTCGCAGTAATGAGAGCAGTTCAGCGCTCCACATCTCTCATTACAAGACTAGTCAGTCTGAGGGCTTGTACAGTCTCTCTCTCTCTGCCCCTGATGGCCATCACTCACAGCAAAACCACAGAGACAGGCCTGAATTTACCTAGTCTGCACTGGGATCTACATTTATAATACTAACCAGCTCCACAGACCCTATCTTGTCTGGGCGCTCTTTTTTGGAAGATTATTTTTGGTACACACAGTGTTTTTTATAAGTGATTTACAATGGTCTATGGAAGTAAAAAAAAAAAAAAAAAATCTGTGTAAATGAATAATTCCTCTGTACTGTATGAAGTGATTTTGGTGTTTAATTTATACAGTATTAGTAGAAATTCATTATCAGCAAGTTTTTTTAAGGCTTCATTTATTTAAGTCTGATGTAAAAAGCCTTAAGACTTCCTGTTAGCATAATCATTCACTGGAAAAATTTTGGTAAAAACTTATTTAAAAAAAAAAAAAAAAAAAAACTTTTAAACGGTACTAATATGTGCATTTAAGGTACTAATGTGCACCCTAAATAAAGTACAATGTGCACCAGTGATTGTTTGTAATTTATTTTATACGAGACTGATAGAAAAGTCTCTTATGCTCATCAAGGCTGCATTTATTTGGTCAAAAATACAGTGAAAACAGTAATATTGTGAAATATTATTATGAAAAAAAAAAAAAAAAACTATTTTAAAGTGTTATTTATTCCTGTGATGATAAATCTGAATTTTCAGCATCATTAGTCCATTTTCAGTGTTTCATTCTGTTACACATTGTAAATGAATTTTCTTTTATTATCCAAAAGCGCTAATAATTCCTCATTCCCCTCTGGAACTATGTTAAAGCTTTTTCAAATGTGATTATACACTTGTAAATTGACAACAAACATTGAAGGAGTTTGTTCTCAGTGTTTCATGCACTGTTGTAAGAATGTGTCCCTCAGCTGTGAAGTGGTAGCAGTGCTTGAGATTCCTCAGGGAGGGTGATAATTGGCAGGAAACATGAGAAGATCTGGCAACTCTGACAGCTGGGTTCCATCAGATGGCTGTGAAGAATGACTTCTTCTGATACTATTAATGAACATACTTAGAAGAAAAAAAACAGCACAGAATCACAGTACTTTTTGTATGAGTATTAAAAGCTTGTAGTTGTTATTTCATTGTATTTACACTACTGTTTAAAAGTTTGGTGTCGGTAAGATTTTCTTAAATGTTTTTTAAAGAAGTGTCTTATGTTCACCAACACTGCAACACTGCATTTATTTTAAAATATACAGTAAAAAAGAAATATTTTGAAATATTATTACAAATTAAAATAAGTGTTTTCTGTTTAAAAAATAAATTAAATTTTTTTAAATGTTTATTTATTCAGGTGATGTTGAAGCTGAATTTTCATCCAGTCTTCAGTGTCTCATGATCCTTCAGAAATCATTCTAATATGCTGATTTCCTGCTCAAGAAACATTTCTTATGATTATCAATGTTAAAACAGTTGAATAGAAAGTTCAAAAGGACAGCATTTGTTTTTATTTTATTATTTTTATCATAAATGTGTGTTTACTCTCACTTTAACCCAATTTAATGCACCCTTGCTGAATAAAAGTATTAATTTCTTAATAAATAGTGTCGTGTAGAGGTAGACATTTAGAGTTCAATATTTGTTTCTACGTCCATAATTGACAGTTTTCTCTGTTTTTAGATAAAGCTTTTTTCAGATGTATCTTATGGTTTGTGCAAAAAACCCATTAGTCAACAGTGAACAGATCTCTTCAAGTTACTTGAACTCTTTATTTGATATCTATGACGTCGATGATAACATATACACCTTGAAGGAGGTTGCTCTGATCTCGGCTGTTTCTCCTATCACTTTCACAGGTGACGTTCACGAAGAGGAAGTTTGGTCTGATGAAGAAGGCGTATGAGCTCAGTGTTCTCTGCGACTGTGAAATAGCCCTGATTATCTTCAACAGCTCCAACAAGCTCTTCCAGTACGCCAGCACGGATATGGACAAAGTCTTGCTGAAATACACAGAATATAATGAACCACACGAGAGCAGAACCAACTCTGACATTGTGGAAGTAAGTGGCTACACAGTTCAAAAACAAAATTAAATGAAATTGATTGATAAAGATTTTAAAGTCGGCATGAAATGGAATTTGCGGTAGTCTTTTCTTCCCTATTGTGAAGTATATCCGAGTGAAACAGCTTCTCAAACAAGAAAAAATGTAGGGCGGGACTTGATTTTGTCCATTGAGAATTGATTGGCTGGTTTGCTATTGGTGGATCTCATTTGAGTGACAGGTTGTACCGCCCTCACGCCAGTAAACACATCATCAGAGAAGAGATGACGCTGGAAGTTTTTTAAAACAAAGATTACGAGGGCACATGAATAATAATGTGCACGGATAAATATTCCATTAAAAAAAACAAGAATTAACATATAAAGATTGCATACAACCCATTTAATGTGCTTCCCTACACAGATATCTCTTTTAGTAGTGGTTGATTTCTTCTGAATCTTATGACCCATATCTGATCTCACAGAAGGGCCTTTTACAGATTACACAAATGCACCTTGTAGCAGTAGCATCTGGAGATGCGGGCTGCGTTTACCGTTGTTGTAATGCAGTTAACAAACAGTTGTGTCTGCATCTCGAGTAATTATAGATCACAGTCTTCTGTGAGGCATGTGCTCAAATTACATCTTCTTTGTCACATGGATTTGCTCCATTTACAAGCAACATGTGAAGCTAGCCAAGGCTGATTTATTCATAGAAGCTTTCATCCAAAGCGACTCATACACTACCAGTAAAAAGTTTGGAATAATTTTTTATATATTTTTGAGAGTCTCTTAAGCTCACCAAGGCTGCATTTATTTGAACCAAAATACAGTAAAAACATTATATTGTGAAGTATTATTATTTTTAAGAATTGTTTTCTATTTGAATATATTTTAACATGAATTTTCAGTATCATTACTCCAGTCTTCAGTATCAGTTTTTTTTTTTGTGTAACGTTTTTGTGGTCAGTGATAAAAAAATATTTCAGGATTCTTTGAATGAACAGCATGTATTTGATATAGAAATCTTTTTTTTTTACATTATACATGTCTTTACTGTCACTTTTGTCTTTTGATGGGAGACTTCTTTAAAAAAATTTTTTTTTTAATTATTCCAAACTTTTGACCAGTACGTCCGGTAGTGTGTAATTTTTTTTTATCTTAAATAACCTAATTATTCTCCATGCAATATTTGTTGTGATTGTGAGACTATTTTCTGTTGAGATGCCAGATTTAAAGTAAATGCTGAATGTTCAGCGTCTAGCTATCTGTAGCTAAATGCTGGTGCTGAAGTCATGTGAACAGATTTTCTGCGAGTCGTGCTAATTGGTTGTAGCTAAAAATAAAGATCCAGTCTTATCCAACATTCATACCGAGGAAACCTGAGATACTATCAGTCAAGGACGTGGCACTTTTGGCAAGCGGTGCACCCGTTAGCGTCTTGCGTGTACGGGGAATGCATTTCTGAATCAAAGTTATGTGTGCTGGTCTCACATTAGCATACCCTATTGTTTTACAGTATATTTGAATGCAATATGCAGTAACTGTGAGCTTTCATTTGAAATTCTGTTATAATATGTATCAAAATAGGGATTATTATAAAGATTGTTAAGGATCTTGAAGCTGTTCAGACAGAAAAGTAATAAACCTATGGAAGTAAAATAATGTCAAATGTTTTTGAAATGAAAAGCCTGTTGAATTGCACTACTTGGAAAAAAAATTAAGCATTGCATTAACCATGCTTGCATTTTTATGCATTGTATTTTTAGGGCTTGCATTTTTATGGGCTGAAATTTAGCATGGTTGAATATTTAAGCTGTGAATATTTCAATTAAAAACATTTCAAACACATTTTCATTATTAAAAATTCAATAATCCATATTCACCATTCATATTTAATTTCCAAAATATTCAAACTGTTTAAAAATACAACCAATAATATTCAACAGGCAATTTTCGGTCCATTTTATTTCGCTTTGCAAATTCGCTTCCACAAATTCAGTGGTTCAAATTCGACAGTAAATTCAACATTGACATCCAGGAACTGCAGGAAAAGCAGAAGATTGCCGAGCATAATCTCCATCTGCTGTTAGTCGACTTCACCAGCAGATGGTGCAAAAGCGCTTGTTGTTGACGAAGACATTCATTCATAAAATGGAAATGATTATCTGTGACAGTTAGGGGTGGAACGGTACATGTATTCGTATTGAACCGAAACGGTACGGGCGTCACGGTTCGGTGCACGAATTTGCACGCAGAATACACGGTACAAATAAAAAAAACCTCTTAAATAGCGATGAATTTCGCTCTATTCGCTTTTGGTGTG